TTTTCCTGGTGAAAAGGACCATCTCAGTCTTCTTAGGATTGATCGACAGTGAGTGTTCCTTACACCATGTTTCCATTAATTTGAGCCCATCCTGCACTCTATCGCACAGTGTGTTCACAAATTTGCCGCTCTGCAAGATGTCATCTGCAGAGCGGCAAATTGTGTAGAATCCATTATTTGACGTGATTAATCAGGGTATCCAGAAGTATATTCCGGAGAAGGGGCTGATTTTTACGAAGAAATGTCTCCCTCTGAAAACTAAAGTTGATGTCAACGTCAATGACGTATATTACTTATTCAGGATGGCTCATTTCAACTGGAATTCAGTGTAACTTTCTATATTTTTTCATTATTTTATCAAAGATCGAAGAGGTTTTGATCTTGTGCAGTTTTACATTTCTAATTTTTCCTGGGATATTTATTTCTTGGAGTAGGTATGCAACAATTGAAAAACAAAATAAAAATTTGTTTTATGATTTGAATGTATTGATACGCGTGTGCTAATGAAATAAATGTTTTCAGGATCCGAAAAAAGTTGAAAAGATGGGTCAAAGAGATGGTTTTAGTAAAGGTGACATAACGAAAATTAACGCTATGTACAACTGCCCAGAAAAAACAGCTCAAGTTACAGTGAATCGCCCAAGTGCAAATGTGGAAAATAATAATTCAAAAGAGGAAACCAATCCACTCCTTCAGGCAGCAAACGGTTTATTAGCATTATTCATAAACAAAAAATAAGTATGAATTATGTATTTCGAATATTTATTTATTTATGTGTGTTTGTATTATTTAAAATATATGTTTTAACTTCGAATAAAATGAATTGGTATATTCAAGGTTTTAAATATTTATTTAATGTTTATGAAATATAATATGACACCCAGCATCTCAATCAGTTATCTGTAAATAGCACAACAAACCCAAGAATAAATAAAACACATTTATGTGAAATCTCCTTGTTTGGTATCAATGGATTTTTTCATGTGAGATTCTGTGTTAAATATTGGAGGGTCGTGTAACTAAATTAATGGTAACAATAAAAAGGTACATGATAATTTGTGTTTAAGAAAATTAAATATCAATAGTTTTTTCATATTTCTCCAATTGAGAGAGAAATAAACTTTTTGGCTTTCTACTTTTCTATCATTACTCAAAAAAAAAACGTGTGAAGCTTCCTAAGAACGGAATGAAGTAACTAACTTAAAAAGATGTGCGAAATATGCACATTCTTTTTTTCAAATATTACGTTGTTTCGAAAGTTTTGCACGTTTTAATTCAATCAGCATAAACATTCGGTTCTTGAGATTCGATGAAGTTGAAGAAGGCACTTTTTGCCTGGTCCTAATTGGCGAAGGGTCTACATGTGAGAAAGTTATCGGTGTTTGAAAATATAGTAGTCATTTGGCGCAAAGTCTGGGGAGTATGGTGGGTGAGGCAGAACTTCGATGTTTAATTCGTTTTATTTTTGGACGGCGATTTGTGAAATGTGTAGACTGGCGTTGTCATGATGCAGAATCGGATCTCTTCTGTTTAATTAGTGTGAAGTTATCCACAACTTCTCATGCATATTTTATGACGAGGGACCATCGCACATGGTTTAGAATGAAATTTGCGAACAGTGTTGCCAGATTTCAAATAATAAACATTTTACGGACACTTCGATGATATCATATTAAAATCATGATATATCATTGAAACATAATTCAGCATTCTCATTCTCCGTAATCCCGTTCTATCAGCCAACTACAATACAAGCATTAATACAAGAAAACATGTAAAATAAGAGTATATTATTATTCAGGAAAAATGCATTTATACGATATGGGAAATGGAAAATTGTTTTTTCCGTAAAAATTTCAGGACTTGTTACTCAAAAGTATGTCATTTACTCTATTGCGGTGAACAAAACCGAATGCCCAAGTAAGATTCATCCGAAAAACTCAAATTTGTCCCTCATCAAAAATAGTATGTTGATGAAAATTGCATAGTACATTTCTCGAAAGCATGTCTATTGACGTGCTTAAACAGATATGTGTAGCAATATACCATACGTTCCTTCCGTTCCAATTTTTTTTTCCCTATATTCGCAACTTAATCAATCAAAAAAAGTCAAATTTCTCACTAATGAAAAATAGTTCGTTGATGAAAACTTCAGAAAATATATTTCTCGAAAGTATGTCTCTTGGCGTGTTTGAAAAAATCTGCGTACTATACGTTTTTTCCGTGCAGAATAAAATAGTTCCGTATATACCAACAAGCCTGTATCATTGAAATAAAGTCAAATTTTTCCCTTATTAAAAATAGTTAGTTGATGAAAATCGATACCTAATCAATCTAATTAAGTGAAATTTCTCACTTATCAAAATAGTATGTTGATGAAGACTTCAGAGTATATTCTTCGAAAGTATGTATATTATGTGTTTGAACAGATCTGCATACAATGCGTTCCTTCGGAGCAAAAAAAAATGTTCCGTATATTCGAAACTTAATCACGGAACGAAGGTATGGTACTCAGATCTGTTAAAACACGTCAATAGACATACTTTCGAGGAATATACTCTGAAAGGACCTCGCAAAATCCTTATAGAATTTGGGTCTCGGTGGAATTTTTAAATTTTTGATATGGTGTAGTCCATGTAATTCTCAACCATTTTGCGTCAACCGCAAAAAATGAACAGTTTTGCCGCTAAGGGTCGTTAAAATCACCCCTTTCTCAGAATGGACTATTCATTTTCGAAACGATATTTTCACCTGTTTCATTGTTGATAATGTTGCATATAAATATGCTTTTTTATAATAAAAATTCTTCACGCCCCCCCCTACCTATTATGAAACTCAAAAAAATCGGTTGATTTTTAGGGCTCAATATGTAGAATATCAAAGTTATATGTCACAGAATTGTATTGCCTCTAGTTATGTCCCTCAGGAAAGTAATTTAGCACTACTTGTTTTTTCAATCAATGTCAGTAACATAGAAAACAATTTAGCTAGCAGCATTCTTCTTTTTGCTGATGACATGAAACTATTAAAGGATGTAGCAACTTTACATGATCCATCAACCTACAGAAATATCATTATTTTAGATGAACGCTGAAAACAAAAATTTGTGGATTACAATTATTATTATTAGGTTGTTTCAAAAGTTTTGTCCGTTTCAATGTCATGTGTTTTTGTAGCTCCATATCTAAATAAATAGTCATGTGTCGTGGTGTTTTGTATTCTATACATAGATGCTGTTCATTTTTTCCAAATTCTAATTTTTGCCTCTATTTTAGCTTATTAGTATATGATGTCTTTAAGCGATTTTAGGCCAATTTTTCCCTACAAATTCAAATCGAACCAACAGTAATTCAGGACAAGGATTTGAAGACCCTGGTGTAGACTGACCCTTCACAAACATTGCATGGGATGGCGAAAGAACTGGGCGTCAGCTCCCATGCTGTTTTTGATGGTTTAAAACGTATTGGAAAGGTCAAAAAGTTCAAAAAGTGAGTGCTCGATGATTTGAACGATCGACAGAAATTGTCACGTTTCCAGGTATGTTCTTTTTGGCATTTACACAACCAAAACGATCCTGTTTTGGATCGTCACGTTTGATAAAAAGTGGATCCTCTGCAACAAGAGGCGTTCAGAACAATGGTTGGACATCGATGACCCACCCAAATACTTCCCAAAGACGGAAACTCACCAAAAAAGACCATGGTTACTGTATGGTGGTCAGCAGCTGGTGTGATTCACTTTAACTAACTCCAACTAGGCCAGCAGAAGTCCTACCGAGAGGAAATTAATGAAATGTACCGAAAATTGCGTCAGCAAAAGAGGTCCGATCCTACTCCACGTCAACACCCGTTTCACAAATCACTATCCGAAAATTAAACAAATTGTGCGTTGGAGTGCAGCTTCATCCACCATACTCCCCAGACCTCTCGCCAACAGACTATCATCTTTTCAAGCTCTTTGATAACTTTCTTACTAGTATAATCTACGCCAATCAGGACCAGTATTCACAGAGATATCAGAGTTCAATGTAGACTCATAAAAACAGCAACAACAATTTTTTTAAGCAAATCTGCAATTAGTTTCTCATGATGCAATAAAATTAATCATGGGGTCAAACACAGTTCATTTTAGCTGATTTAAGACTGTTTCAAGAGATAAATAAAATTAAGATCTGTAATGAAACATTCATTTCTTTCACTTTCTCAACTTCAAACATGTTACAATATCTTAATTCAACCATCAAGGGTATTTGAGATATAAAATGATTTGATAGTTTTTCTATTACTTCACTTAAGTGCATAAGTCGCTTAGGTGATACTATTAGACATAAATGCAAATTATTGTCATCATGGAAACGTGGCATTCTCCAAAGAGAAAGAAGAGTTCAAAGAACAATTGAGGTATTTATATGAAACAGTTCAGTTAAGCATGAAGATTATTCAGAGTCCAGACGAGCAATGAGGTTAGAAGTGATTAAATGGTTAAAGTGGAATAAATGCAATAATTATGAAGCGTAATTGAAGGAAGAAGTGTCAGAAGTTGTTATTTGAGTTAATGAACGAAGTTGTTCAAGTTTGATTGAGTGTACCTACCATTTATTTTCAAGAACCACACTCACATAGAAATAACAACATATTCCCTTTCCAAACAAGCTTCCAACTGCAACCTATGGTTTAACAAAAAAAAAATTGAGCAAATTCTTGCTATAGAGAGCGACCAATGGTTCTGGACTTTTTTCATCAGTGAATGAAGCTTTTAGTGAAAATTCAACAATTTAATCACTAATCTGAGAAACAACTTGAATGAAAATTAAAAGGAGAGCAATGATGCGAGTATATTAAATTGTTGGATGTCATTTTTTATATGTTGGACTTGGATAACAATAAAACACTATTTATCAAACAAATATCTAATTTTAACAATACGTACGAACAAATATAGGGATGATCCTAAGATACAAAAATATCAGATCTGAAAATATTAAATATGATACCTTGCTAAATATTAGTCCTTGCCACTAATATTATGAACCATATTACATATTACAACATATTGAATAAAAATAAGAATACTGGTACAATCAGAACAGATGAATACATTGTTTGTCCAGTAAGGCAAGCGTAAACGTACCAGCACAATGAAAAAAGCATTGCTTGCCAAGCCAAGTGAATAGCGTATAAACTGAAAAAAAAAGTAATAATAATAATATAGTTTCATAACCTCCATATGATACTCACATAGTATCCTTCCCTCTAGCTACTGTGAGAGTTTTTATAGGATCTTTGTTCAAAAATATTCTAGCTCCTAATGTTAAATCACTGAAATAACTTATCCAATTCAGTTTACTGATATCTAAATTGAAATCAGTTTGATCATCTTTGTTAAGCCAACCCTGTAAAATTAAAGAGACTCATGAAAATATGTTTCTACTCCTCGACTAAAGGTCAACGAAGCCGTGAAACGTGAGAAATCTGCCTATATGCAATTTGTGCTTGACAAAAATAAAAATAACGTTAAGACGATGTGGCGCTATCTCAGCGACTGGGGTGCATGCACAAAATCGACTCTCAAAACGAATAATATTCCTTTAGAACTCCGTGAGCCTGATTTACTTAACAATTATTTTTTGAATGTTGCCGGTAATACCTCCGTAAATGCGGAACTACTATCATTCTATAATAATAACCTTCTGGGAAGTAACTTGAAATTCTCATTTACTGAAATAACTAGTGATCATGTCTGGGATGCTCTGAAATCTCTGAAATCGCAGGCATTGGGTTTAGATAATATTAGTCTGAAAATGATAACAATTGTGTTGCCTTTCTGCATAGAGGAAGTAAAACACATTTTCAATGAATCCTTGAGAACAGGTACATTTCCTGAATTGTGGAAAATTGCCAATGTCATTCCGATACCTAAAATATCCACACCTAAAAGTTTTAATGATATTCGTCCCATATGCATCTTACCTACATTTTCCAAACTTTTTGAAAAAATACTTTCTCTACAGATCAGACAATACCTGGATTTCAATAGTATCTTACCAGAAGTACAGTCTGGCTTTCGTTCGAAACATGGTACACATACGGCTCTATTGAAAGTCATAAATGATATATGTACTTATGGTGATAAATCTATACCGTCGATCCTAGTTCTCCTGGATCAAAGCAAAGCCTTCGATCTTGTCAATTTTCAGCTTCTTCTTGCGAAATTAAAATTCATAGGGTTTCAAGAAAGAGCTTTGGAATTAATGAATAGCTATATCCGAGGTCGATCACAAAGAGAGATTTCACAAAGAAATAACAACAAACAAATAGTGTATGAGAGTTGTTATTTTTTTCAAGTCACTTAAATCATTTTTGGGTGTTTTAGCTTGAAATAAGCCTTTTTTGTGAAAATACAATTATCTGGTATACAGTAACACTGTATTGTGAGAAGCTGTTGTATAGTGAAACATTTGTTGTGGTTTTATATACTGTTCAATGAAAATCTGAGGATAAAGTATTATTTGAATACGTTATGGGTTTTCATCTAGTATCGGCCAATTCCATTACATCAACAATCATCCAAATTTATTATCCTGACTAGGATTGACCCCAACTGATTTGGATAATTGAAGTCCAACTGTAAAATCAACTTTACCACTACAAAATATATCACAATTCAAACAGAATCATATTATTTTGTTAAGAAAAAAAAAAAGAAATCAATTTTGTATTCCATTGATTTAATTTTACTAGGTAAACTATTGTATCCAAATTCAGTTTTTGTTTTTGCAATTTTCTAATTGATTGATTGCCTTTTATCATGATTATGATACTACCTAACAAGAGTATTATTTCTTTATATTTTTTATTGAAAAGGAAGCCTGTATTTCAACTAATGGGTAATTTAATGTTTATATTTATATTTACCTGCAAGGCAGTAGTTTTGGTTGCGGAAAATTTCCATTCTGAAAAAATGAATTTCTCCAACATATCAAGTGAAGAATTTACATTTCTGTGTAGTTTCATCAAACTAAAAAATGAATAAAAGTATATGACTAACTTTATCACAGTATTATTCAGCAACAATACTCACATAGGACGACCTCCAGTGAGACGGGTAACAGTGTCCAAAATTATAGCAGGAAAGAAATGGACAAACAATGCCGATATTTTGAACCAAGTTAATGATGGAATAAATTTCAGATATGGATACCAAACTGCATTCTTCAGAGGATACTGATGTAAGTAGTCATTGATTTTGTGTTCCACTAATCCCCAACGGAATGAATTTCTTGTACTTGATGTTGCATGGTAAACTGCCACATTAGGAGGTTTTGTTTGACCTAAAGAAGATAAAATACGATGAGTTGTTCAAATCAGCATAAAGAGAAAACAACTCTGGCACCTGGCAAAATGAACCAGATTGCCCCACTCTTTCAGAATGAGCAATAAAATTTCATTATTTTTTTGTAAAAAATGGATAAATAGTACTTTGAATATTTACATCCCAGAAATATATAGAAAGAGAATAATCATCAACCACTATACATAATGGTATTTTTCCAAGCAAAAAACCTTATTCACATCTCATATCTAATATTATATGCACATAAATTATTACTTCAATCGATTTATAAGTGTCTGATTAATTACTCTATAAATACATTTTCATTATTCATATAATTAAATATGTAAACCATATTTGTATGTGTTGGATTATGCAAAAAAAACACTTAGCTCATTGTTTTGTAGAATTTTTTCCCAAATTACAATAAGATATTTGAAAATGCATAGAAAGTATGTAGGTAGATTTTTGAAAATTTATTGAAAGTATGTATCAATTCTATCAATTTTATCAAGAGAATCATCATCAATGATTAAACTTCTACAATTTGGTATCCACCTTTTTCTAATTGGAATTGACTTAATAACTAATCTTGTTTAACAGATCTTAAAATTTGTCACTCTATTGATATCAAGTTACATATTTTCAGCATGGGTGCTAGAATATAATAGAATGTTATCATTTGTGAAAATATTTTGTTAATAGACTTGATAAATTTAGACTATTGAATTGTGCATAGGACCTAAAACCGATCCTTGTGGCATTCCACACTACCACATCACGTATTGTCTTATTTCTTCTGAATATAACTTCAAAGGAGTGTATACCTTATTTTTGAAACTGATTTCTAGTATAAATGACTTTGGGTTTTTTAGAATTCTTTTGTAACAAAACGAAGGTTTTTATATGATTTCATTTTTAACAGAAATGATCTCCTATACATCTTCTTTCAAATTCTTCAGTTTCCATCAGAACTTATGGGACACTCTCTATAAAAAAGTTTGGACAATGAACTGTCATTACATGTTCAAATGTAATATATTTTTCTGAGAAAAAATATGTGAGATTGTTCGGCCTGTGAATTTCAATAATAGGTTTTTATTTTTATCAAAATTTCATTGTTGATCACGTTCCAGGTTAATTTTCCAAAAGAAATTTGGACTGTAATACTCATTAGAAAAACTTTATTGTGATATCTGTAGGCAAGAGATATCAATTTATCAATTTATTTGCTTAATAATAACATAAATATGCATCTAGAAAGTATATAATCGTGTTTTGAACTAACCTACATAAAAACCGGCTGCTAATAAGTTGTTTACAACAATATCAACTGGTATGTAGTCATAAATTATATCTGTTCTGGTAGGCAATCTTCGGATTACTCCTTTTGCTGCACCCATAAAAAATCCTTGAGGTCCATTTTTACTAATTGTCCACCCAGGTACAGGCTCTTTTAGAGATCCAACTACTGCAGAGCAAAAAATTACATTAAAAACGCATTTTCTTATTCTTTAGTGAGGAAGTGATTCAGGTGAATATTTTCATTGAAATGAAGCTTTAATACTGAAGTTAAGTAAACTCTGTAAGGTAAAGTAAAGGTAAAGGTAAAGTTGATCCATGAGTTGAATGAAGAGTACTCTGAAAATATCTGATCACATTAGTAAAAAAATTGCCATGGAGATCAATAAACACCAATACATAAATATGTTGCTATGGAGACCTCAGAACCAGCAAAGTTTGAAAAAATTCCCTAATTCAAAGTTCATTATTTGTTTGTTAATGCTAGCAACCATGAATAAATAAAACTTAATAATTCAATATCTTCATCATCACTTTTTGCACATTTTTGGATAAATAATGAAAACTACTGAAAGCTTGCTCCGCAAAAAAACTCCAGTAATCAATAATTCTTTGTGAAACTTGTGTGACAACTGTTAAGGTGTGAATCAACAGATGCAATTTAAACGTATTATATCTGAAGGCAGTGGCAAACATTTAATGGATTCTCAATGTTTAATTCTTTATATAGAATTTATATGAAAAGAAAACCAATTATTTGTTTTTTAAATACATGCAAATATTCAATTTGTCAGAATCCCTGCTAAAACAATTTTCACGTGAAATATTACAATAGACTATTCCTAAATTTGCGAAGAATATTTTGAAATAAACAGTAAAATAATAAGGAAATTTTTAAATTTGAAAATTAATTAGTTACGTTCCATTTGCAGTGGAAGTGGAAGATCTAGGAAATTAGTCTCACCTGGAACATCGGAAAAGGTTTTCGCAAAGCTAGACTATTTTCATAAACTTGTCGAAGGATCCGTGAAATTCTTGGGTTTTATAACCTAAACAAATCCAATAGAGCGATTGCCTGTTGACTAAAAGCTTTTCAGCAAATGGATCGTGAAGCTCTCTAGTATACAAAGGCAGGCTTGCCTGGCTGTTTCTGATGCCATCAACACCACACAGCTATGAAAATTGTTTTAGAACTACCTCCTGTCCACAACTGTCTGGAGGAGAGAGGCTAGATGGACAACATACAGGATTGTGTACCTTGTTAATTGCATGAAGCAGGCTTATAAAGAGCATAGCAGACTGAAAGACGCAGCATTCTCCAACTTAATGCCTCCAAGAGTCAATTTCGATCTTGCCTTGATACAGTCCCAATATCAAGTAGAGATGACTGCATTTTTCAGGAAAAAATCCTGAGAACAGATATCTGTTGATGATAATAATAACAAATCTTCACAATTCATACTTTATTATACTCGTTTCACCACATAGTAGCACCCTCAGTTGGACTGGTACTCAACACTACCTTGATGAATAGAGATTAATTACTATTTGATAAACAGGTAATTTTGAGAACAGATATCCAGCAGCTACAAACCAGATAAGTTATTGTTACTAATGATTCGACTGATTCTAGTAAATGTTTCATAAAAATAAAGTTAACAGTGATGAGAAATCACATTTTGGTGGTTTTTCAAAATAGGAAATTTGATTGTTCATGCTTAATAATTTCCAGGGATTCCCGCAGATTAAATTTTTGCCTTTTATTATCTGTATGTAGTATGCCGTAGTTTATGTTGAAGTCGTGGTTGTTTTCCAACAGATGCCATGCATAGGTTGAATTGGTTTTCTTCAAATAAAATTGAGATGAAAATTTTTAATTATCATCACGAATGATGTTACTGATTTTCACCAAGTAACGGGACAGTGGTTTACTTTAGGCGGTCATCAATGCAATTTATATGCAGAGAGATGGACAGAAACCAACCTCACATATAAATCAATAAAATATTTCCGAAAGTACTTCTCTATTATAGAATTTTCCACAATGTGATATACTGAGTTTTCTCTTTACAAATCGAAAGTTATCACTTGTGTCTAAACAGGAGTGAAAAAAATACTAATACACCAAATATTTGTTTTCTAGAATAACAGACGTTAACTACACAAGATGAACAACTACAATTTTCACGTGAAATATTACAATAGACTATTCCTAAATTTGCGAAGAATATTTTGAAATGAACAGTAAAATAATAAGGACATTTTTAAATTTGAAAATTAATTAATTACGTTCCATTTGCAGTGGAAGTGGAAGATCTAGCAAATTAGTCTCACCTGGAACATCGGAAAAGGTTTACGCAAAGCTAGACTATTTTCATAAACTTGTCGAAGGATCCGTGAAATTCAATGTTCATATGAACCTAACCTAACCTAATATATTTTTACAAAGAGTTTTTATTATAGGTTTTTTCATCCTTCCTCTGGAAGTTTCCCAACCAAAATACTGATTGTAGATTATATATTTGCTACATAAAAAATTCATACCTCATCAGCTTCTTTTCTCCAAGCATTGACATAAGCACTACTGACGTGTACGAAAGCTGCTAGATTTCTACATTCTTTGGCCAAATCGATTACTCTTCTCGTTCCTAACAAATTGATGTCTACCGTAGTTTTAAGGGTATCACCGAAATCTAAAGTGGCAGCTGAATGAAATATGACATTCACGTTTTCTGTCAGAATATGTTGATCCGCTGGTGAAATTCCCAATTTGTCCTGACTCACATCACCAGCTATTGCTTTCACCTTTGAGAATATCTGAAAATATTAGCCAACTTTGCTATATTTGTTTGATTTAAATATAATTGCTACCTTAAAAATTACAAAACCGGGTTATGAGAATTATATTAGATTGTAACAGACTAGCTCCAAAAAATTTAATGTCAGAAATACTAAACTGAAAAACGAATTTACTTTCTAACTAATACTTGTATTTTTGGTGAATGACTTATCACCAACTTATTTAAATGAGTATGATATGCAAGGGTGGGATATATACCTAAATTGGTACTACCAATCAGCATTACATCCTTTCTGTTGGAAGGACTTGAAAGGATACTGGACGGACACATCAGGAGGGTGACATTATATGCATCCCATCTGAATAACCACCAGTATGGTTATAAAACGGGCAAATCGACATAGTTAGCATTGAACAACCTTGTAGAGAAAATTTCCCAATTCCTTGACAACAAGAAGATTGCGGTTGCTGTATTTCTCGATATTGAAGGAGCATTTGATAATGCACTACCTAAATTTATAGGATCATCTCTGGCTAGGAAAGGTACAGAATCGACCATAATCGGCTGGATTTATGCCATGCTGGTGGCCATTAGGTTCAAGTCACCCGAAGCTGACCTCAAGGTGGGGTATTATCTCCCCTTCTGTGGTCGCTCCTGATAGATAATCTGCTTGATGCCCTCGATAGAAGAAAAGTAGATCTGCACGCTTATGCAGATTACCTTTGCATCTTGGCAAGATCTACGTCGGGAAGCGTAGCTTGTAATATCCTCCAAAGTAAGATGGACATTATTCACAGTTGGGGTCTGAGGGAGCAGATGTCTGTCAACCCCAGTAAAACTGTGATAATCCCCTTCACCAGGAGGAGAAAATTGGAATATTTAACGCCACTTTCCCTCAATGGTGAGGTCATTCCATTTGGAACGAAGGTAAAATATCTTGGCATTGTCCTTGATATAAAACTCACCTGAAGTGCTCACTTGGAAAAGCCAGACTGTCCCTATGGACAATGCGAAGGATTTGTGGTAAAACTTGGGGTTTAGGTCCCAAACAAATCCATTGGATTTATGTGATGATTGTCAGATCAATGATCACTTATAGTGCAATTGCCTGGTGAACGAAGGTTTTACAGAAAACGGCCCAGGCGAAGCTCTCTGGCTTACAGAGACAGGCCTGTCTGGCTTATCAGTGGTGCCATCAGTACCACACCGTCAGCGGCCATGGAGATCCTTCTAGATCTACCTCCTCTCCACATTTTTCTGGAGAGGTTAGGTGGACTGCATATAGACTTGTGCACATTGCCAATTGCACAAATCAATTTAATGCAGAGTACAACAGACTGTTGGTTGTCACTGGAAGTCACATCATTCTGAAAATGACCCCTGACTTTATGCCTCCAACTGTCAACTACGATCTGTCTTATAAAGTACTGTTTGCGAGTAGAGAGGATTGGATCCTCTGGGAGAAAGAAATATTAAGAGCAGATAGTTGTTGGTTCACATATGGATCAAAAACACATCTGGTGCTGGTGTTTTCAGTCGCAAACCCAGGACAGATATCAACCTGCCTAGGAACCTATGCGACTGTATTTCAAGGGAAATTTAGGCTACTGAATTGTATTCGGAGAGATTGGAAGAATCCAACCTCATACACAAGTCAATAAAAATATTCTCGAACAGTCAACATGCGTTGGAAGCTCTTGGCTCCTACCGAGCAACGTCTAAATTGGTGGCAAATTGCCAAAAACTACTCTCCTCGATAGGAAGTCTCAACAGATTGTCTCTAGTCTGAAAGGCAATGAGGCTGCTGACCTCCTTGCAAAGGAGGGTGCGGCAAGCAGCTTTATCGGACCAAAACCTGTCATGGCATCGCTTTAGGCTTTGCCAAACAAACATTGAACTGTCACTGTCATTTGAATCATCATATGCAGAGACTCGGAGTGTCAGAAGTCAGAGTGTGTCACCTCTGTTTGGAAAATGATGAAACAGAAGAGTACCTACTTTGTGCCTGCTCCGCTGGGGAACGAATCAGGTTTTCAGAATTTGGTAGAGCCATACTCTTACCATCTGACCTGAAAGACCACTCACCATACAAACTAATCGGCTTCGTTAAGAAGCTGGGTTTATTTGGTCAAGTATGAATAGGTGTAAGCCACAATAAACCCTTGCGGGTCGAATAGATCCACCCACTTTTGACCTAACCTAACCTATGTTATTTATAATAATCAAATCCATAACTACTTTACAAACAGACGACAGAGTGCATACAATTAGTCAGGTTAGGTCGTTTGATATGAAAACTATTATTACAAAGGTTTTCAACAGTTGATTCGAATATTTAAAAAATATTTATAGCCTGCTTTATTTCAAACACAATTTACCTGAACACAATTATGAAAAAACAAATATAAGTAAAATATTTACTAATTAGTCAGCCATGTAGATCAATTTTGAAATTTTGGTAACCAACGCTTTGCACTTATCAATTCATATTTTTTACGTTGGTGATTCTATTTTCAAATAAATAAACAAATAAAATATCGTTTTTATCATATCATAAATTAAGTCATTCTGAGCAGTGAAAGCTAGAGGATTGATATTTGTTTCCACTTTGAAAATAATAATATCACCTAAGAAAGGGATGCTATCGATTTCAATGAGCTATTTTGAGTGATTCTGAAAGAATCACCCATCCAAATGAGAACTACTTCTAGTGATACTTTTATTATAGAGACTGAGCCCATTATTATTGAGTGGCGTTCCTAACGGCTTAATGATTTTTGGTTAGACATTTAATGTTTTTCAAAAGAAGCACTAGACTAAAAGTTTAGTGTAACTAGATATATCATTAATTTTCTCAATGCAAGTTAATTTTTTTCAATCTTATTAGAAACCAATGAATTAACTTTATTTTAGAGGAGTTGTTCAATGGTAGTATCAAGTTTGGTGAGTTACTTTATTCAGTGAAATGCACATGTGCAACTGTCTCCCATTCCAAATTTTAGATATTCAAGCATAATCTATATATCAGGCCCAGAGTAAATCTAGTTATTTAATTATTCTGCTCCTATGATAAAGCACAGTTATAAAAAATGTTCTTCATCAAAACATAATAAAATCTTCAACCTACCTCGTCAACAGTCTTATCCTTCAAAATAGTTTCAAAAACTTGATTTTTTTTAATTTCCTCCAACCTCTCAGCGATTTCTTTACCTCTTTTTGGTCTCATTAGGATGTAAATGTCTCCATGATCTGGAATCGTCCTCAAGATTTTTTCCAAGAGACATAATCCTACAAATCCGCTGCCTCCCGTTATAAAAATACTCTTTCCAGAGTAGAAACTTCTAAGGCCATTTTCTGATGACATTTCCCTGCAACATAATGTTTCATCCCAATTTACAAATGAAGTTATTTTGGGTGGTTTGTGGGTTTTGCAGTGGTCTTTGGTTATAATCTCCAAACGTTTCGACTACAACTGCGGCAATCATCTTCAGTGAGGTGGTCAAAGTACTCTTATTGATGTGTCAAGTGACACTTGTCAGTTAATCTTCAGTGACGTGATCGAAGTACTCTTCTTGATGTGTCAACTGACACTTGACACTTGTCAGTTGACACGTCAAGAAGAGTACTTCTATCACGCCACTGAAGATGAGTGCCGTAGGTCGAAAAGTTTGGAGATTATAACCAAAGAAGACCACGGAAAAACCCGGAAACCATCCAAAACACTTTACATTTTGTCGAAAACTTTACTTATCGGTATTGATGAGGCTATCGAGAATAATAATTGCCAACTGGGGCAGGATCAGAAACCTCATTTTTCAATTTATCAATGATTTGATGATCAACGCAGTCGAACGTTGCTCAGATCGCAGAAGATCCCAGTTCCAAGATTTTCAGAAAACTCATATTGGTTTCTCGATATTACTTTAGGTGTAATCAGAATGGAATCCAAGATATTGAGGATAGGCATATTATAAATCTTTTGAAAATACCAAAGTTACGGTGACTGTTCAGTATTTATTTGTATCAGTGGCATCTCCACGTTTATTAACGGGAATTACAATTTGAAATAATGGTAATAATGGTTTGATGGTGAGGTGAAAACCTTTTTTTCAGTAATATCTGCTACAAATGTACAATAACACTGGTTTTTCTATTTCGCTGTGATTTGATCTATCCATCAAAAGATGAAGTTTTTTGTTCTATAATCCATTCTGTGTTTCCGCAGGTTAAGATATTTTTCCATTACTCCATTATGGTTGCCGTCAGAAACGAGATTTGACGTCACATATGAGTGCTTGAATTCAGGTGCCTACCAGTAACACCCAACTAATATGAATTTCAATAATGAGGTTATAACGACTCATTTATTATTCTCCAGAAACATTTAAATCCAATAAAATTTACTAGTTATAACTAATTAATTTTAAATGAACAACTTAGCATTCTACAAAATTTGGGAAAAATTCATATTGGATTTTCATATGAATATGCAATAAAAATATTTAATTTAGATGGGCAGGTATTACAAATACTGAACCAGATCAAAGGGATCAGAAGTAATTGGTAAATAATAGTTCAAAAACAGCGTAACTTTTGAAAACTCTCACGAGACTATGGAACGCATATAAACATACCTACATCTCATTCGGAATATTTTTTAAGGACAAAATACGAGCACTACAGAAAAATCCTTAAGGCGCTCTCAAAGCGATGCCTGTGCGAAAGTAAAGATTCACATTGAATTTGAATCGCTGAATCCATTTTGAAAAACGTTCTCAGGAAGTTTATTCCACATAAACGCAGTTCTCTATATGAAAGATTTCTTAAATAGTGAAGTTCGAGGTGTACTGAGTTGAACCTCAAAACGATGAGTAGCCACAGTCCGTCGCGTATTTCTGATATGTGGAATCAAATGTACCAAGTCACTTGAACACTTCTCTTCTTTGATGTTTCAAGCTATTAAGGTTGCATGTGATGTTCGCGTCTCCAATCAGGCGAATGGCTCTTTTCTGGATGGAATCCAACAACTTCAAGGTATGTATGGGGGCAGAGCTCCATATATGAGAACAATACTCCAAAGAAGGTCTGATCTGAGCTTTATAAAGCATCAAAAGTTGCAGAGGTGTGTACAGTTTTCTGGTTCGGAAGAGTGTTCATCAGGAATAGGATAATATGGGATAATAAGTATTAAAATATATTTTATCGATAATAATAATAATCTTGAAGTTCGGATCCCCTTCTCTGCATAATTCGTGACCATGAGAAAGCAGGACTTGGAGCATTTCTCTTTAGGGCAGCTGTCCGAGCAGCTGATGAACTCGACTTAGTTTTCGACACTGAACGAGGTGGCCACAACTCTGTCACCGAGTTGGAACCCGTTCAGCAAAAAGCTCATATAAAAGCCGCAGAGATCACCTCACGTTTGCGGAATCACAAGGATACGCCAATGCAAGTAGTCTTCTTCAATAACATTGGAGACTTTGGCTTATCAAAGCGCCTGACTTTCGCTTTCCTCAGGTCGAGTGGGCTGAAGTCGGAAACTTGGGGGTTCGTCATGGCTTGCCAGGATGGTGTCTTCAACACATTGGTTTACCGCAGTCGCGTGAAGGGTTTAAAGGTTTCTGGCACAAGGTGCAGGGCCTTCCGCGAGGCGCTTGACACCCCAATGCATTTGCTATCAGCATTTCCAGCATATGTGGTTGTTACATGTGTCATTTATTTTATTATAATCTAATACAATTATATTAGGTGTTCCATGAGGAGCCGACAGGTGACAGAGAACTAACCTACAACCACGTGTGTATAATGAGCCTCAATAAAATAGGTAATAAGTTTAAATGAAGTTTGATTGGAGAGTAATAAAACTAAGAACATAACAGCGGTCTCGGCCTATATCCATCGACATAACGCGGCCCTAAGAGTGCCATATTACCATCAACAGCACTCTTACGGTATTGACGAGACACCTGTGTTGCCCTACGCTCCTGGGGATATTGAATCCGTTGTGGGAGACGAAAAGTGCCGAATTTATTGGAACTCTTCGTTCCCCACCCTCAGACTTATACAAGCTAATAAGCCTGATGTAGTCCTTCTCGACCACCAGAGCAAGACGATATTTGTCGTAGAGTTTTCAGCTTCCGACTGACTTTTGTGTATAAACCAGAAGAGATAGGTATAGGGAACCCTAATATAGTTTTGAAGGAAATCTACTTCTGCGTCAAATTACGCCACCAAATACGGGGTGTTCCATTCAACTTAAAGAAGTTATTTAATTAAATGTATGTCCAAATTTTGAGGCAATTTTTTTCGCCATTCGGAATAATATTGCATTAAAAATTTAATGTGGTAGTTAACTTTAACCTTTGAGCTGAGCAGCACATTCATGCACGAGCAGCTCGTTACAGTTACATGGTGTGTATTTTTAAATTTCTCGAAATTTCTCAGAAACGGTCAGTTTTAAGTATGGAAAATATAATAGTAACTCACCTTTATTTTTTTATAGTATCTAAAAATATAAAAAAGGGGTGTTTCATAAGAAAAACTATAACATTGCTATGTAACTTTTTTGGGAGTCACATATAACTGTGCTTACATTTTTTCCCTAACTCTCTTTATTTCTCGTAAAAATACCGAGGCGAATGTGGTGGGCCACCCTGTATATTTGCTTATATAATCACTGTATATTAAGTAAAACCCATGCGCAAAAAATTTGTTTGTTGACTGGTTTTATTGACTAGGCGAAAATTCCATTCAATTTCAAGTTAGTTTTCTTTTCAAAGTATTTTTACAACATGAAGGTCATATAATTATATTAGAAATAACACTGATGGCATCCAATTATTTTTCTTTGAAGTAATTTGAACCATTAATGTATAATTTTATCATTAGGGCATAAATATCGATCAAAACAACCATTTGAATATGGTCATTATATAAAGTTGATGATGGAGAAGTGATTAGTTTTCGTAAAAGTTTCCAGCGCTTAGACAGTGCTGAGGGCCAACGATTTGTGAAATTAACATTTTTCACATATTATTGGTATCAGATGTATTAACTAACCTAAGCCAGTCAGCAATAACCGTTCTTGATTTTAGATTAAGAAGAGCTTCTTCCCATGCCCCTCGTGGTATCTTATTACTTTGTGTGAGATTTCCCCAGGAGGTAGTTGAAAATCTAATAAACAAAAAAATTATTTATTGATTATATTTTAAATATTAGTTATATAGGGGAAAGTGGGGTAATTGCGAACACCTAAGGAAGAACTGAAATTAAACAAAACCAGTTAAGATTATGAATGCTATTTATTACTAAAAGTTAACTAAAACGAATCAATCTTATGTTCTCTTACCCAACGTAGATAAATGTTCCATATAAAATAAAATATTAATACAAAAACAAAAAATTGTAGTCCGGGATTACCCCACAACACGTGGGGTAATTGCGAATGGTCTGTTGGGTAATTACGAACATAGTCTAATCAGAACAGAAATCACAAACAAAGGTTCGTGATGTACTTCCACCACTCGTACAGTTTTCGTGAGCCCATAAATTACATTTTTAGCATTTTATCCAGTCTTCATTAGGTGGATCTTCATACTTTTCATGACAAACTAGGCAATAATACTCGTTTTCCTTCCCATCTCCTTCATTGGCCTTTTTCTTTTTGCACGGTATGTCCTTTTCTTGAGCCTTTGTATGAATGCTGTCATCGGAAAATAATATAAGATTCTTCACTCCTTTTTTACCTTTAGTGGTACTTACAAACTTCTGACTCTCTTTTTTTTCAAGATATCTTTCATAGAGGTACTGGTACAAAGCAAACAATAGGATATGAAATAAACTATATGAATTATACGGTGTGTAGGGGCCGGATGGCCGGGATTACCCCCCTAAAATCATCCGTCATTAGCCGACACACACAATACCACAAACCAATATTTTTATTTGAGGTTAGAATAGCGTGGTGCACGCGATTACTCCCTAAAAACATTGTTAAATGATACATTAATTCGAAAAAATAATGTGATAGTTCTCTGTAATACCTAAAATATTATACACCTATACAATTTTAGTAAAAAATATATATGAAATTGTTGATAAATCTTTAAATAAACATACCTTGTAAAACGAGCGCATCGTCATTTCACCACTTATTGCACAGCACTAGGTCTGGGATAGACTCACGATTGCGTTACTCGGAATATCTTTCATTCTTTTCTATCATAGTAAAACATACACGTCCGCGATAACCCCGCGTCCGTGATTACCCCACCTTCCCCTAATTGTGATTGGGAAAGGATTTGGCTTTCTAGTTCTCCATTTCTATGCAGATGAATGTCGAAATCTTCCAAAGAAAGGAAAATAGCATTTAATTTCAAAATAAACAATTTACAAAGATATGTAGATAATGCAAAGAACTAACTTTCGGACATAAACTGAAAAAAATTCCTCTCGAAACAATTACTCTAATAAACATTGAATTACATGAAAGTGAAGTCATATATTGGTCAGACATCTAGAACATAAAATAGTCGCATTATCTCTCATGTGAGTGATAGTAGGAGACAGTATGACAATAATATGGATTGTAGGATAAGACGAAAATTTTACATACTGAAAAGAAACCGTCGAATAGATACTTGGGCATGTCATATGCACCTCTCCGGAAAGTTTATTAGTCCCCGAACTTTGCGACGAATCTTTCAAACGAAAGACACAGCACGGGTGCATGACGGTTTCATCGCTTCAGCTTTCTGAGGGGCATTAGGTGGATTAGTTGTTTTTTTTTTCGTCGGGTATCTGCCACACGTACCTACAAAGTTGTAAGTACACATGAGAGGCAAGGGGTAAGATATTTTTCATCTGAACTTGGACACATCATATGCACCTCTACAGGGAGCCGGGGTAGGTTGCTAGTATTAATTAAATATCACCTTTAATCACATGTGGATTTTCTACTCTACTCCAGTAATGACAGTTGCAGTGACTTATTCAAGATATATTCCTTGGTATATTGGTATATATTGATACTGTAAGTGCAAAAGGTCGTACATAGAAATTTGTACTTTACATGAGAACAAAAAAACTGATTATAATTTTATTTCCATCTACTGTTTCCACAAAATGAAATATTATATGATAAATTAATTGTTATGCTTTCCAATGACAATGATTTTTACATATGAACTTTTGCACTGACATTCTTGATATGTGTCATATGAAAATAAAACAGCCGAAGGGAAGGGGGAAATTGCCCCCTTTGTACCCCTTCCTGTCCACGACCCTGAACAGTTGTCTCTTTTTACGTTAACCACAAAAAGGAGTCTCATCATTAAAATAAACCAGTTGTGAGAATTCAATATGATTAATGGGATTAATATTTATGTATAGATATTGGCATGCATGAAAAATAACAGGATCCTTAATTTCTTCAACATTGTTTAAGCAAATTATTTTCTAGTGAAGTTTTTGAATCAGCAAGCAGCTGATACATAATCAGATACTTATGGGATAAAATAAAATTTTAGTGCTAATAATATTTTTTCATATTCTATTACGACATTTAATGATATAAAAACAAAAAAAATTTGAATGAAATTGCTGTCATCAATTACTCAGTCGATTTTGATTTTTGAGTTTGATGTTTTGATCTGCATGACATCCATTTATTTATTTATACTCACTCATGCTAGGTCGAACTATAGCACAGGGAAATATCTTTTCACATTTTTGAACTTCGAGTTCAGCCAAGTGTTTGGTTATAGTGTATGTATTTGGATGATCTCCCAATATTCGAGGAGTTTCTGTTATCAATTCTTCAGGGCTGAGTTTGTTAACCAGACCTATTATTTCTTCAGCATCTTTTGATAAGGGATAAACAATCTTGAAAAAAAAATAACAGCATGTGACAATCAAGAATATTGATTACATCTGTATTATAAAACAAATTTTCTATCAGAAATTTATTGATAACAGACGTTAACTACACAAGATGAACAACTACAATTTTCACGTGAAATATTACAATAGACTATTCCTAAATTTGCGAAGAATATTTTGAAATGAACAGTAAAATAATAAGGACATTTTTAAATTTGAAAATTAATTAATTACGTTCCATTTGCAGTGGAAGTGGAAGATCTAGCAAATTAGTCTCACCTGGAACATCGGAAAAGGTTTACGCAAAGCTAGACTATTTTCATAAACTTGTCGAAGGATCCGTGAAATTCAATGTTCATATGAACCTAACCTAACCTAATATATTTTTACAAAGAGTTTTTATTATAGTTTTTTTCATCCTTCCTCTGGAAGTTTCCCAACCAAAATACTGATTGTAGATTATATATTTGCTACATAAAAAATTCATACCTCATCAGCTTCTTTTCTCCAAGCATTGACATAAGCACTACTGACGTGTACGAAAGCTGCTAGATTTCTACATTCTTTGGCCAAATCGATTACTCTTCTCGTTCCTAACAAATTGATGTCTACCGTAGTTTTAAGGGTATCACCGAAATCTAAAGTGGCAGCTGAATGAAATATGACATTCACGTTTTCTGTCAGAATATGTTGATCCGCTGGTGANAACAATAAATGTGAGTAACTTCCAAATCAAGAAAAAAATAATAACTCTCTCTAAGGAATTTTAATTTCAGTTATACTCTTTATTAAGAGTTTTCATTTCAGTTATTTTCGCTATAAAGGATTTTACTGTCCATATGATCATTTAATTACACAAAAATAACTTTTTCCTATTCAGTTTGTACTAAAAACATCCGTTATAGAACTAAAACAGATATCATTCACAGTAACACTACACAATGTGATATATGAAAGAGTATTGATATAAAATGTCACTTACATGGAACACTAGCATCCTTAATTATGTGTTTTGAAGTTTCGAGACAAGACGCTTGTCTTATCACCTCATCAGTACCGTTTTGAATAACATTATACGCGAGTCATAATGTTATTGCTTCGCCTTATAATGTTATTCAAAACGGTGCTGATAAGGTGATATACGTCAACATTGGGGATGATAGTGTAAGTGACATTTTATGTTAATTCTCTTTCATATATCACCTAGTGTAGTGTTCCTATGACTGATATCTGTTTCAGTTCCGTAATGAATGTCTGTAGTACAAACTGAATGGAAACAGGTAATTTTCGTGAAATTCAATGTTCATATGAACCTAACCTAACCTAATATATTTTTACAAAGAGTTTTTATTATAGTTTTTTTCATCCTTCCTCTGGAAGTTTCCCAACCAAAATACTGATTGTAGATTATATATTTGCTACATAAAAAATTCATACCTCATCAGCTTCTTTTCTCCAAGCATTGACATAAGCACTACTGACGTGTACGAAAGCTGCTAGATTTCTACATTCTTTGGCCAAATCGATTACTCTTCTCGTTCCTAACAAATTGATGTCTACCGTAGTTTTAAGGGTATCACCGAAATCTAAAGTGGCAGCTGAATGAAATATGACATTCACGTTTTCTGTCAGAATATGTTGATCCGCTGGTGAAATTCCCAATTTGTCCTGACTCACATCACCAGCTATTGCTTTCACCTTTGAGAATATCTGAAAATATTAGCCAACTTTGCTATATTTGTTTGATTTAAATATAATTGCTACCTTAAAAATTACAAAACCGGGTTATGAGAATTATATTAGATTGTAACAGACTAGCTCCAAAAAATTTAATGTCAGAAATACTAAACTGAAAAACGAATTTACTTTCTAACTAATACTTGTATTTTTGGTGAATGACTTATCACCAACTTATTTAAATGAGTATGATATGCAAGGGTGGGATATATACCTAAATTGGTACGACCAATCAGCATTACATCCTTCCTGTNAATTGAGCAAATTCTTGCTATAGAGAGCGACCAATGGTTCTGGACTTTTTTTCGTCAGTGAATGAAGCTTTTAGTGAAAATTCAACAATTTAATCACTAATCTGAGAAACAACTTGAATGAAAATTAAAAGGAGAGCAATGATGCGAGTATATTAAATTGTTGGATGTCATTTTTTATATGTTGGACTTGGATAACAATAAAACACTATTTATCAAACAAATATCTAATTTTAACAATACGTACGAACAAATATAGGGATGATCCTAAGATACAAAAATATCAGATCTGAAAATATTAAATATGATACCTTGCTAAATATTAGTCCTTGCCACTAATATTATGAACCATATTACATATTACAACATATTGAATAAAAATAAGAATACTGGTACAATCAGAACAGATGAATACATTGTTTGTCCAGTAAGGCAAGCGTAAACGTACCAGCACAATGAAAAAAGCATTGCTTGCCAAGCCAAGTGAATAGCGTATAAACTGAAAAAAAAAGTAATAATAATAATATAGTTTCATAACCTCCATATGATACTCACATAGTATCCTTCCCTCTAGCTACTGTGAGAGTTTTTATAGGATCTTTGTTCAAAAATATTCTAGCTCCTAATGTTAAATCACTGAAATAACTTATCCAATTCAGTTTACTGATATCTAAATTGAAATCAGTTTGATCATCTTTGTTAAGCCAACCCTGTAAAATTAAAGAGACTCATGAAAATATGTTTCTACTCCTCGACTAAAGGTCAACGAAGCCGTGAAACGTGAGAAATCTGCCTATATGCAATTTGTGCTTGACAAAAATAAAAATAACGTTAAGACGATGTGGCGCTATCTCAGCGACTGGGGTGCATAGGGTGTTCCATCTCAGACGAGCCACCCCGTATATTTCTTATCCCATAGTGAGTGGAAAAATTTCCCGAAACATGTCGAATGATTTTGTTTGGGGGACATCTTTTGAAGTATATTTTAGGCTTGAACGAGCAACCCCCTAATAGGGGATGATACTTTATTTGAAAGGTTTTGGAAGCCTCTTTACAATGGTGTATGAAAAACGTAAATTTGATGAACAGTTTTCGCCAAAAATCAATTTTGCAGCTCAAATGAGCCACCTTGAATAATTTGATTATTTTTATATGTACAAGCCCATTTTTATTAAGCCCTTTTTACAAACTTGAAAAATCTTCAAAAATCAGTCTTGAAAAAATTGAATTGTTTTATTATCATGCTTACAATCAAAAAAATCAAATCTGTGTGTTTAAATGAAATGTTCAAATTGTCCTCCATTGACTTCCATACAATAATACAATCTTGACTGAAAACCGTCTCTGACATGGTTCAGCATAACTGGAGTTATTTGACGACACTTATTCACAATTCTTTGGCGTAGTTCGTCCAAATTTTTAGGGTGAGTCACAAAAATCTTGGACTTGAGATATTCCCACAAGAAGAAGTCCAGAGGGTTCAGGTCAGGAGATCGGGCAGGCCACTTCATAGGACCTCTTTTTCCAATCCAAAGACAGAGTATGATTAGCTGTCACTATCTGTGTTTGCTCGACTACCCCACTACCTGTTTTGGCCCTATTACCTGAGCTGCCTCTGGTATTCTACCTCTATTGCTGAGCAAAACTCAGCACAGGACAATCCAGGTAGAATAACAGAGGCAGCACAGGTAATAGGGCCAAATCAGGTAAATGGGAACATCCATCCCTATATAAAGTAAAACACAGAGTTTGAACTAATTAGTCTAGTTGAAAAATTTCAGACATCACCAATAAATGGCAAATGAGAAAAAGTTGTGAGAATAATCCTTATGGGGATAAAATACACAGAACACGGAGCGATATATACCTGGTGGCTCTTAAATTGAAATCAAATTGGGAATGATCAGAATAGTACTCATTTTCATCTTATGAATTTCATGGAATTATTTTCCAGCAGCTTGACTGCATTAACCTTTCTTGATTTTATTTCATTTCTAGAAACATGTGGATTCTTTTTTCTGATGACATTCCAGGAAAGCTTCATTTTGTCTTCAATCGAGGACCGCCTGCCCAATAGGCTGAATTGAATTTAATGGAATTATTTTCCACCTTACCCCTAGCCTCTCATGTGAACCTACGACTTTGTAGGTACGTGTGGCAGAAAAACAACACATAACCCAGCTAATGCTGGGCAGAGAGCCATCAGGCACCTGTGCAACGTCTTCCATTTGGAAGATTCGTCGCAAAGTAGAAATCGATTTCATTTGGTCGAATCGACCACCGATAGACAGTTTTCAAAGTACCTACCGAGCAGGTCATTTCAAAATTCATTCGAAAGTGACTATATTTCCATCAGTACTTCTGGAATTTGTTGTATAATCAAATTTTCGTATTAAAAAGCAATTTCTTGAGGTGCTGGGTGATATTTCAGTAGACAAACATTTCCAAGTCCTGACTGTGCAACTAATGTTAACTGTTCTAGGACCGTCCGGAGAGGTAACCTGAATAATATAGTTTGTTCTGTACAGAAAAACGGTTGATTTGGAAAATAAAATATAAATTCATTTTTCAAAATATTCCTTGCAATTTTTGGAAATTCTGGAGGAGCACAAAATCAAGTAGTTTCATCATTTTCTAACCTTCCAAAAAATTCTAGGTTCGACGTTGAACAAGTACTCCCGATAAGTATAATAATAATAGGAGCAAATAGCTGATCTGAATACATATTTTTCTGAATCTATTAGGACCCCAAATAACAGTCTAGTCAACTGTCTTGATGAATGACAGGTTTAAAATATATTGGAGTGTATGCTTAAGACATAGTGAGGAACTATTGTTTTAATTTCATATAGGTGTGCATATTCATTATTTCCTTCTCTTGAAACATAACAAATGTAGGTACTTACGTTTCTTGTATATCCAAATGCACAATATTCAATTCACCGTTATACGTTTTTAGAACAAGATATCAAGGTACCTATAGAGATTTTCACTCCAGTTGCAGTATCTTTTACTGAATAAATCAACTTCTAGTTTAAACTCAGTTATGAATAATAAAGTGATAAAAATATAATGAGCCAAAGGTGGGAAAATTATTTTGTACTTTGTTACTTCGTTTGGTAGTCCGGCTTACTGTCAACAGTGTCAACGTTAACCGTAAACTTCCAAAGGAAAAGGAATATCTTGTGTGCCATCAATCTTTGACAAGGTACAAGGTAGTGGGGCGGTGGCCTTTTGCTTTGCACTTTGCACCACTGTACAGATTTTATGTGTTTATCAACAAATACGCGAATCTGGCGAATAGGTAACGGAATACATACTCTGTAT